AAAAAGCCAACCCAGAAGTTTGTAACACCTTGGTTCCCTCAACAAAAACTAAATGATTTTTCCATTGTTTTTTAAAAAAACAATAAACTCTGTGACCAACAAATGTTTGTGATTCTCAATGTTCATCACATTTAGTTTTGTTTGTAGAAATTCTGCAGAAATGTTAACAGGAATCCACACAATCTGCAATTTCATTTGAGGGACATCTGCCCCCAATACATTTCCAAATTCAAATTCAATGAACCGTTAACACTGGACTTTGACATGTTTACCAATATAAAGCTGCTTATTAGCTAAATGTTCGTGCATAGCTACACTAAAATCTTCACAAATGAACAACTTTTATGCATTTTGAAACCTAAATACAACTGCCAGAAGTAAAAAGCTAAGTGTAAGATATAAACAAACTATACCACAGTCGCATGACTTTAACATCACCAAGCTTTAGACAATTCTTTCAATCTTCATTTAAACAACATTTTAACTAAAAGTTGGAGTTAGAATTGTTTGCAAGACTAGTGAGTAAAATGTAGGGTTTTAGCATTTTGATGTTTAATGTCCCAAAACAACCTCTATATTAGCCTTTCAGCCACTTGTTAACAACTACCTTTTTCAAGACAAGTAAAAGCTTTAAAACATATCACTGATGTATTTCATGTCTTACGACAAAATGTGAAAACATTTTGAGATTGTGTTAATCCTTATTTCAGGCATTTAAACAAAACCCATTTAAAAACACTGACTTCAGTATAAAAGAAGAAGAAGAAGTGCTCAAATGCTAACTCATTTATGGGTTTTGGCCTACAAAAATATGCCATTCCTGCGGAACGCTATACAACAAATAAAATGGAAGGACACATTAAAGTCGATATGTCCAAATCATAATGCATTCAAATACTACAACTACAACCCACCTACAAAACACTGACCTCTCTACAACCTCCCAAGCTGCTAAAGTAGGGTAGTGCGTCTTTGTTGGGTAAGTATGATTGATAGAAAGCCCCCACAAACCCCTTCAGCCCACTCCGCCATGGAATAAATGGGTGACAACAAGCCCAGTTAAAACAAGGCCAAAAGACTGTTGTAGGGCTTGCAGATGTCTTGATTCAACTTTCCAGGGCCAAACTTTAAGATGTTAGTGTTAGTGTTAGCATCCATCAGGTTTCTTGACATGCTTGAGTGCTAAAGCAGTAAAAACTCACATCAAAGTCACTGCTGCTTTTATGTTTGTCCAAAAAAGGCCTGAATTAACAAATTTACACACAAGGCCCATACCATATGGAACTGCATGCAACTTGATACTGGATTTGCATGGTGGTTCAATGCTAATGTACGTGAAGGAACCTATGTGCCTCCTCACATGAGGGTTTTTACCATAGAGGCAAATGCGGATAAAGGAATGCGGTTATCCCAGTTTTTGCGGTGGGGGTAGAGGTCTAACATGCACAGCTCTCTGGTCACATGTCAGCACTTCTGTGAACTCACACCCCCTTTCTCAGCCAATCACAGCGGGCGCTGCGGTCAATCCCATGGCAGCATTCTAGGATCTCAGCTGGTGGCCTGCACCTCCAACCGCAACAATAATAATCAAAACAATGACTGCTAAGTTTGCTGGCCGTGGGAGATCCCAGTGACATTCAGATACCATAACCCAATGTTTTCAAACTCAATTCCTGGAGGGCCAGGGCTCTGCACAGTTTAGCTCCAATCCTAACCAAACACACCTGATCCAGCTAATCAAGGTCTTCAGGATTACTAGAAACTTTCAAGCAGGTGTGAGTTGGAGCTGGTTGGAGCTAAACTCTGCAGAGCTGCGGCCCTCCAGGAATTGAGTTTGAGAACTCTGCTGTAACCGAATTGAGGCCAGTGTACATTTACAAAGCACCACTTCTATGAAAACTGACAGATCTGAGAGTCATCAAGGGTCAAAATGTAAGGAACGTGTTGCTAGATGAGGGAATTTCCCTTATAAAGACCAGCACTGGATCAATAGTATGATGGTTTGCTCGATTGGATTGCACCAGACCCGTTTGTAAGATCTTCTTCTTCTATATACGCCATACACTTACGCCACACAACTATGCTAAGATGTAACTGTAAGTTGTTCTGGTGTCCAAACCGGGAACTCGCTTATGCCAGACCATTTCTGCATGACTATATTATTCCTACGAGCTAGACCACTATGAACTATGAAGATTCATGCTGGTCTAAGCTGATCTTTTCAGCCAAGTAGAGGAATTAATTGATCAATAAAGGCAGGAGACGTCTCATTTATAACATTCAGGATGTTGCAGATGTCCAGATTAAAAGGGAGTGACAGCTAAGGTCATGTCCTGTCGTGTAGAGGAAGCTGCTAATGCGGAATACAGCATTCATTGTGCCGCGGAGAGGTCAATTACGAGGTCAGCTTAGCAGCGGTACTACAAACAATGTACCAACAAGACGTTTATTGCCTTGGTTAAAAAACAAAACAAAACATAGTGGTATAATACTCTGAGTCTGAGAAGGTGTTTTTAACCAAAGCAATGCAGTATAGTGTACTTCTCAATTTACTAATAACTTTTTTTTAGCAATTTTAAACACTTTTTCTTCCATGTTTTAATTTTCACAGTAAATGTATTTTGTCTAGCACTGTTCGCCAAAAAAAATTTTAAGGAATTGTTCAATTTTAATTTGATTACATTTCAAAAGATTAACTAAATTGTTCAATTGTTTAAAAGATTAATTAAATTGCCTTTGTTTGATTACCACAGTTTTTGATAATACATTTATATTAAAATGACAAATCCAGAAAAATTCAAACAGACAACAAAGACTTTGATAAAAAAAAAAAATAGTCTTATTATTATAATAAAATAAATTATTAAATTGTTAAAGCTTTATGAATTTAACTGAATAGACATGCTTTTAGATAATTACAATTTAAATAGAACATTCAAATGGAATCCAGAAAAATAAACCAGAAAACACAGAATTTGGAGGAAAAAAAATAAAAATAATTTACAGTGCCCTAAAAATATATTTTTGTTAAAAATTTAATAAACTGATGTTTAATTATTTAAATTTCATGATTTCAATTAATTAGAGATATGCTTTTACATTACTAAAATATAATCAATATATAACATTGTAACAGAATCTAGAAAAATCTAATCTGAAAAAAAAAAAAAATTGGGGGGAAAAATAAAAGATTTCATAAGGCCCTAAACGTCCTTGCATTACTGTATTCTGGTTTACTCATACAATTAGAGCCATTGTATGTCTTGCAGTTTCTTATTAGCAAACTTGTCCACTTGTATCTCATAAAACTCTCACAGTATACATGCAATTACATAAAAACTTCCAGGAAGACTGTTTCTCAGAATTTTACATTAAAGCACATTCTTTCCTAGAAGTACTTCCCGAAGACCACCACTCCACGCCCAGACCCACGCCATTCACATCACAATCTTTCAATAGGGTGTCTAGGGTTTGAGTGATGTTATCAGATAGTTTGCTTCAATATCATGTCGCGTCAAGGACAACTGTGGATAGAGGTCACATACCAAAGGCCTAAATGTTGCATAAGCCCAGTCAGCCACCATTGAGTATAATAATATTCCTCCACGTGACATTTGTTGTGGGCGTCATTGAGGCGGCTTGTGTTGCGATTTGTCTAGAGCGGATGGGCTGAAATTACCTGGTTTTCCTTCCCAGGCCAGACCGAGAACCCCACTGAAGTCTCTGTTGGTCAGGAGATAAGACAGGCAGTAGTCGTTCCAGTTCGTCTCGGAAAACAGACACAAAAGCTTCTCAGGCCCAATGTGGGTCTTGCCCAAGGGACTGCTGGGATCTTCTTTGGTGATCACCTGAAATAGTTAGCGACCTGTTTTATGTCATTCCAGGCTGTGCATTAAAATTTTTGACATTGGTGAAGTAGGTCAGGATAACTGTGGATAGAGGTCACATACCAAAGGCCTAAATGTTGCATAAGCCCAGTATAATAATATTCCTCCACGTGACATTTGTTGTGGGCGTCATTGAGGCGGCTTGTGTTGCGATTTGTCTAGAGCGGATGGGCTGAAATTACCTGGTTTTCCTTCCCAGGCCAGACCGAGAACCCCACTGAAGTCTCTGTTGGTCAGGAGATAAGACAGGCAGTAGTCGTTCCAGTTCGTCTCGGAAAACAGACACAAAAGCTTCTCAGGCCCAATGTGGGTCTTGCCCAAGGGACTGCTGGGATCTTCTTTGGTGATCACCTGAAATAGTTAGCGACCTGTTTTATGTCATTCCAGGCTGTGCATTAAAATTTTTGACATTGGTGAAGTAGGTCAGGAGGCATGAGAGTAGAACACTGTATGGCAGAAATGATATGTGAAAAGTGCAAAATAAGGACCGGACCTTATGGTGAGGAATTTAAGTTTGAAATTAAATCTAAAATTAAGAGGCAATAAAACAAATACAAAAAAGATTAAATAAATATAAATAAATATTATGAAATTATTTAAAATCAAGAGGCAAAAATACAAATGACAATAAAACAAACAAAAAAGGTCAATAAACTAAATTTAGAGGCAAAAAATAAATAAATACTGAAAAACAAGAAAATACATAAATATTTTGAAGTTTTCTGAAGTTAAGAGGTAATAAATAAGCAAAAAAAGAAAACAGGGCAATAAATATGAAATGCTCTAAAGCTGACAGGCCATAAATACTAAAAAAAATAAACAACAACATGAAAATAAATAAATATTATGAAATGATCTAAAGCAATAAAGAAATACTAAAACAAATGACAAAAATAAATAAATAAATTTCCAATTAATAAATACTTTAGACAATACAAACAATTAACGAAAAAATAAAAATATTAATAAACTATTTAACATTAAAGGGAATAAATTATATTAAATAACAAATGGGTTAATAAATATTAAGCAATTATATAAAGTTAGAGGCAATAAATACTAAAAACAATAAAACAAAAATAAATGAATACAAAAAAAACAAAATGGGTAAATAAATCCTTTTGAAGTTGAGAGGCAATAAATACATTCTAAAAATAAACAGGACAATTAAAAAAATGTCAAAATATATATAATACAGCTGTAATTATTTTGTTTAAACCATGACCAAAACAAGGACCTTACGGTGAGAAATTTAACTTTGAAGTGCACCAGCTCTATGCCGTCAAACTCGGCTTTGTCGTAAATGTCGTTTACTGCTTTCATGTAGGAGGCAACCTGCAAAACATATTGGTGCATTAAGCTTATGATTAACTGACTTCACTTTGACACCTTATTAGACAGAAATAGTGACACAATTACAGACGAGAGGACAGATTCATTTTGCCACAGTAATCTTATCATATTATTTGATCAATTGAGACTTGAGCTTCAGTTGCAACAGTGAATCCTCCAGAGAGTCTCTTGCCCCAGTCACTGTCAGTGGATTGAGGCACATTTCGCCTCAGAAGGAATGAAAGCACTCTGGGGTAAAAGTGCCTGGTGAGGAATGTGAGTGACAATCTGGCCTATGTTCCTTACAGTGAGCAGGCCAAGACCAACATATTAGCACACAGCACTGGGTGAATATGGAAACGTGGAATAACACTGTGGCATGGCACACAGCCCGAGTACCTACACCCAATTACACAAACACTTCTGAATCTGAAAAAATAGATACAGTGGGTACGGAAAGTATTCAGACCCCCTTAAATTTTTCACTCTTTGTTATATTGCAGCCATTTGCTAAAATCATTTAAGTTCATTTTTTTTCCTCATTAATGTACACAGAGCACCCCATATTGACAGAAAAACACAGAATTGTTGACATTTTTGCAGATTTATTAAAAAAGAAAAACTGAAATATCACATGGTCCTAAGTATTCAGACCCTTTGCTGTGACACTCATATATTTAACTCAGGTGCTGTCCATTTCTTCTGATCATCCTTGAGATGGTTCTACACCTTCATTCGAGTCCAGCTGTGTTTGATTATACTGATTGAACTTGATTAGGAAAGCCACACACCTGGCTATATAAGACCTTACAGCTCACAGTCCATGTCAGAGCACAACAACATATTAGAGTTATATAAATGTACATACATATTATGATTTTTAGTATCATTTAATATTTACATTAATATTCATTATCATCATAATTAGCACCAATAAAATTTATTTATTTATTTAGATTTGCTCAGTTTATTTATATTCTGTTATTATATTTAATATTTAAGGGTATATTTTTTTTACACAAATTGCTATAGATAAGTAAAAAAGGGAAGAAAATTTTACAACAAATATATATTATTAAGCTTGTAAATTGTGTTATACAAAAAATATGTTTTACTGGTCTAAAACAAATCTTGTTCAATAATTAATTATTAATGTTTATTAATAATATAAAAAATATATAATTAACATTAAATATTAATATTAAATTTCAATATATTAAATATTTCATAATGAATATTACATATTAATATATGAAATATATTCATATATATCTTAATTAGTGCTGTCTAACGATTAATCACATCCAAAATAAAAGTTTTTGTTCACATAATATATGTGTGTGTGTACTGTGTATATTTATTATGTATATATAAATACACACACAAGCATGCATATATTTAAGAAAAATATGCTATTATATATTAAATATATTTATATATAATATAAATGATATGAATATAAATATATACATGTAAATACATGTAAATACTTTCAAAATATATACTGTGTGTATTTATATATACAAAATAAATATACACAGTACACACACATATATTATGTGAACAAAAACTTTCATTTTGAATGCGATTAATCGCGATTAATCGTTTGACAGCACCAATCTTTATTGATATTTAAATTGTGTGAATAGTGTATTATATACACTACCAAAACTTCTTTTTAAAGAAAAAAGCATTTTTTTTTAAAGAAATTAATACTTTTAATCTGCAAGAATGCATTAAATTGGTCAAAAATGACTGTAAAAATATTTAAAATTTTACAAAATATTTCTATTTTAAATAAATGCTGTTCTTTTGAACTTTCTATTCATCAAAAAATTCTGGAAAAAACGCATCACCGTTTCCACAAAAACATTAAGCAGCAAAATTGTTTTCAACATTGATTGAAATTCAGCTTTGCATCACAGGAATAAATTACATTTTAAAATAAATTCAAATAGAAAAGAAGTTTTAAGGTTGCAATAATTTTTCACAAGATTACTGTTTTTACTGTATTTTTGATCAAATAAATGCAGCAAGTCACTTCGTGTAAAAACATTAAATCTTAATCCCAAACTTTTGAAAGCTTTTTTTTTTTTTTACTGATCAATTTTGCTGGGCACAAACATAGGGACCAAAAACAAAAGACTTATTAACAGTTTTCTCCAACTCAGAAAGTAAAGTAAAAAAAGCAACAAAATAACAAAGAGCCATTATCACTTAAAAGGGTGTTTTTCAGTTATTCATTTGGCAGAAACATTGCTTTTCAGGAATTCCGTACATGCAGTGATTTGGTAAAACAATAAAAAATCACCAGCTGTAGAGAGTAAAACAAAAACATTGCGTAACCGTCAAAAATAATACGCAGACAATGGGAACTACCCCCAAAGTAAAAGCTCAGTGATCTCAGCCGCAAGGCAGGCGGTCCAGCCCCCAAAATACACCAATCTGGAAAACTCGTCAGATAAAAGATAACAAACGGTTACTTTAACTTGTGGAAATCCTGTCTTTTATCTTCAGCATACAAACATTACATAACATTACGTTGTACCAAAGCAGCTTGAAGACCTTTGTTTCTCACAGCCAAAGTAAAGAACTTGGCTTTGTTCCATTGGTGACATACAATCCCACCATTTCGGAGAAGTCTCCAGTGGGATCAAGGAAGGAACATGCTGTGAATCCCACTTCGTGGAGATTGGGTACCGAAGGGGGGCAACACTTTAGAGTCAACAGGAAAAGTATTGTGTTTATCAGCCTGTAGCTGTCGAATGAAAGAATCTTTTGAGTACTAGATCTTGGGAACTCACCTGAGCCACAACAGCTTCAACACTTCCAAAGCGTTTGTAGAAGCGGTGGTCTGCATGGAGGTGCAGAAGACAGCTGGTTTTGGACTGGTCGACCTTCCGCTTTGACCTGGACACTGGTATCTGCTGTGGGTCACAAGACGGAGAACATTTCACAACCTTGAGAAGGCGTCAAGGGAGAACTTAGGGAAAAGCTCACATCTGGTTTTTCAATGCTGCCACCGAACAGGTGGAAGTGATGTGTTGTAGTAAATATGAGCTTAAAATATAGTGTTATCTGATTTAAAGACGCGACAGGTTGTCCTTGCACCCATTTTGGGGTAAATGGCTTTAACCCAACCAGGAGCTTCAAACAATAGATAGATTGGACAGATAGTACTCTTTTCCATACAGCAGGATGCCTCCTAAAAACAGGACAAGGTGGTAGAGCAATTACAATTACTGAGTGACATTGCGAAGCATTGATGTAATGTCGGCCACCTCCACGTGCAATCTTCTAAAAAGCTCTGAACATCTGATTTCAAAATTATTTCCACATTTAGTGCTCCTTTTAAAGAACTTATTTGGGTTTGTAAGTACACACTGTACAGGACAAAACTGGAAATGAGGTGAAGTCATGTCTGACCTCTTGGTGGTTTTGGACAAGATGCTGCAGCCGCTCGGCACCACAGAAGCCAACATGAGCCTGTTTCAAGGGAGCACTGTCTGTGGAAAAACATATTAAAGGGTTATAATATGGGAGTCGACTGCTAAGGAGATGTAAACAAGGGATACAAATGTTGTAATTAACAGTGTTGTTAAAGTTACCTAAAAAGAAAGCTATTAAAAATAATTTTAATGTATTGAAATAAATCTGAAATAAGATGAAATATAAATTAGATGGAATAACCTAAACCTATGAAAAACTAACTGCAATAGGTTTAAGTATTAAAATTACAAAAAAGTTAAATAAAAATAAATCTAAACAAAAAGATTTAAAAAATAAATGACAAAAGCACATAAAATTACTAAAACTTCAATTACACTAAAATTAAAATGAAAAATAAAAAGCGAATTCAAAATATTAATAAATAATGATAGTACTTAATTAATATACTTAAAAAATAAACACTGGTAATTAATCAGAATGTTGCTTTGATATGAAAAGGGAAGCATGTAAATTAGTTTCAGTGAAATTTTAGTAGTTTCAGCATCCTGAAGTTCTTTCAAAGAGATTCTTCTCAGAAAAAAAAGAAGCTTTTTTTTCTATAAATATCATAAATATTTCATAAATGTTCATAAATAATTATTTGGGCCTCATTCAGGAAACACAGAACAAATAAAACATGTAAATCTCTCACGAAAGATACTGTAAGATTTATGTAAGAATGGTTTTATGAACAGCCTGCACAATAAAAATTGTTGTTTGTGGTTCACGAATGAGGCCAAATACATTCTTATTAATGTCCTGTGAAATAAAAGACTAGATGACACAGACATTTTGACACAAAAAAAATTGCAAAAACCTTGGACCCTTTTGTACAGTCTTGAAATTATGAATTCATTGCAAAACCAACATGCTTGCTCAAGTGGGACTTGGGCGACTGTATCTTTTCTGACCTCTGTTGAAAAACCTCATTGTAACATAATTTCTAACTGTACTAAACTTTGCTAGACTTGACTCTTACATGTACTTTATAAATGGCACAATCTTTTGTTATTTTATTTCTCTAATTAGCCTGAATTTAACTTATTTTTTATTATTGTCTTAATTTGAAAGGAAGAACAAAAATTTTACTCTTTCTGAAAAACCATGCAAAGTCATTGTGTGGTTGTAAGGGTCCTGCTAAGGTGGTTTTAGTGTATTGCTGGTTGTTAGGGAGTTTTTGTTGGTTGCTAACTGGCCCAAATCAAAAGTGCCCACATTCTTAAAAATGGTTTATAGGTATTCATGGTTCCATGAAAAACTTTAACATCAGTGGAACCTTTACATTACACAAAAAGTTATTTAGAGTGGTAAAAGTTTCTTTAGATTATTAAAATGTTCTTTACACTAAGAAGATAATGGTTCTTTTGAGAACTTTTTGCTGAAAGGTTCTTCCAAAAATGGTTCTTTTATTGCATCCCAGCAAAAACAACCGCCTTTTGGAGCCTTTACTTTTAAGAGTGCAGTCCCAAATCTACTCTACAATAAGTCATATAAATTATGGGATTTTTTGCCCAATTTTATCATCTGCAAGAAAGAAAATGTATGAAAACTTAGAAATATAAAATCAAACAGGTGTACAATTATGGGGGGTTCACACCATGGATGATAACTAAAACTATAAGGTTTTAATAATTGTTATAGGGAATTCCACAGTACAACTATAACGAACAATATAAGGAACAATATCACTGTAATCACTTTCAGAACAATTTTTTTTCCAGCTGATGATCAACAACTTTGACAGCCAAAGAGAATCCACTCAGCTAAGCTTGATGATTCACAGAACATTACAGTGCATTGGTGTGGATGCTAATATAGTTATCGTTACAGTTATCGCTCTTGGCTTTAACCCCAAGTACAGTATTACCAGTAGTAATCGCAGGCACCAAGTTTAAATCTCACACACCACAAAAAGGTAATATTACGTTATATTTAAAGTCTTTAAAATCTGACACTGAAAGTGGAACCTTCTTCATAGTTACATTGTTGTTGTTAAAAACAATTCACTTCAAAAACGTTCCTACAAAGGTTAGAGTGCTTCAAAAGCCTTTCAACAAATAAAAACACATTGATCGTGTTGTTTTATTATGATTCTTAAAGAATAACTTAAAAGCATTCTCATGGAAACGTCAGTCAACTATAAAAAACAGCTGCACTGATTGTTTGTGATAGCGGTGCATCGTGACCCAAACCAGACATAACAAAGCTGGGTTACATAGACGGTATGACCTTAAAACTTTTATTTGACCCTCTAACTCTAGCACTTTCTATTCTATTTTAATTCTACTTTATCTATATGTATCTTCTTTTTTTTATTTAAAAAAACAAACCAAAAAACAAACAAACATTAGCTTTCTATTTTTTCTATTCTATCTACTTTTTTTTTCTTTGTGTGTGTGTGTGTGTGTATAATATATACTGTATATATATATATATATATATATATATATATATATATATATATATATATATATATATATATATACACATCTTGCTATGTGTACTGCGTTAGGCTAACCGAGACTTGTCATTTGCATTTATATATTGTTGCTCTTTTGTTAGTTTTGTCTGCTTTTATTGTCCTCATTTGTAAGTCGCTTTGGATAAAAGCGTCTACTAAATGACTAAATGTAAATGTAAATGTAAATGTAAAACTTAAGGTAACTGACTCTCAGACTTCAATGAGAAGGTTTTACATTATGACTTCACATTCAGGAAGGTCTCAAGAATGACACAAATCAGGTTAAACATTAATCCGAAGCAAAAAAAACAAGCTCATGCAAAGTCAGGTGGTTGACATCCACAACAGCCTGGTTAAGTTTTACCTACACTGTAAAATGACTGGGAGTTTAGTTGGGAATAAATGTCAAGTTGTCTCTAACTAGAGAAGCAACGTGATTGGATCACACCATCCTGGTGTGCAAGAATCAACCAATAAGAATCCTTAAATGTAAATAAGGTGGCAAGCAAGGTCCCACCACTGGTTTCAAATCATTCTTTGGAACATGATCAGTTTCTACAAACAAAAAGGCTAGCAGAGTCGTTCCTGGATCAGTGAGTTTGAGTAGAGAGAAATGGAGCATGTGAGAAGAAAGGGTAAATGTGGGGCATTGACCCATTGATGGAATTACTTCCAGACGTTGGCTTCATCCTGCGAGCGTCTCTTTCAAGTAGTTGTGCATGCGGAGACCAGGGCAGAAAGGTTTCGGGAGTTGTTTGAGGGAAAATATGCCTGAATTTGTCGAGAAACAATCCACATATAGAGGGGAGCGGAAATTAAAATGAATGTTTATCCAAGAACACTTGCAGAATCAAAGACTAACCTGGAATAGATCTTGTATTTTTTATAAACCCAACCAGCACCAATTACATTGACGTCACTGAAATATACAGTATGGAAATCAAAACCAAGCATTTAGATATGGCAGTGAGCTGATGATGAAATACAAACTTGCTAAACTGTCCTGTTTCTGTGTTCATATCTATGTTTTTCATGTGGTCAACTCTGATTGGTTGTTTCCTTTACCCAGCCAGCTGCAATGAAACCTAATCAAAGCTGCTCCACTTCCTGTTAGTTTTAACTTCCAGATGGCAGACAAACCATGGCATTGTTCATGAGTATAAATAACAGATCTGATTTGAACAATCAGATTTAGTCTTCAAGTGACTCAAACAGGAAATCCGTTACTTTAAATTGCAGCAAATTAGTATAATGTTTAAAAACAAACAACATAAAACATGGGCACAATTTCAAGTAGCTACTTTTGGATGCCAATTTAGTATACATGTATACATATATATACTATAACACAATGACACAACAAAAATGATTATAACAATAAAACTACATTGCTGTATAACTACATTGTTTTGTTCGATTTTCAGTAGTAGAATGGTAGTTTATACTTTTGTAAGTGACAGTGGGCTATTTTCCTGCTGTGACTGTGTGCTTAAAGGTGAAATAGGTGATTGTCTTCAGAAACATTTTTTGTTATGCTGGTTGAAAGTCTCTTCACATCCCGATAGTAATCATTAAGTTAAGTGGTCTAAATGTATTTATCTGTATTTATATATTCTGTGGAAGGTGTAGGCCCAAGAAATGTTCGTCCAATCAAAACGCTCGGTCCGAGCGTTTTAATTGGCTTTCCTACCTGCCTGTCAACGTATGTATTAGCATACCTCTGCGCACTCGGTTCGCGCAGACAGAGTACGTCATCAGCACATTCACGCACGCTGTGCAGACAGAGCGAGAATGCCAGACAAACATCAACAACCCGATCTTCCTTCCTGGTATTGTAGTACTTTTACTAACTGTACTATAAAGTTTTCTCACTGGTGAATGGCGCATGATGTAGCCCAGCGGTTCCCAATTCCAGTCCTCGAGCCCCCGCGCTCTGCATATTTTGCATGTCTCGCTTAGTTAACACACCAGATTCAGATAACCAGCTCGTTAGAAGTGAGCTACGTGCATGAACTGTGTTCCGATCGATATGATCCCTACACAGTGTTCATTGCTCCCTACTCCCTGAGCAGGGGAAATCCGTTGTTTACTTCACTTCGGAACATGGGTTGGAATTGGGAACCGCTGATGTAGCCTATTGTAGTAACGTTGTCTCTGGTATTCTGGTCTGTGGAGAAGGGTATAACTGCAGATCTCCAAATAGGGGAGGGAACTCCAAAACGAGGTGGGAGCTCCAAAATAGGGCGTGGCTTCCTCCCATTGACAGACAGGCACATGACACGCATGCACAATTTTCCCCCCAATCCACTTCAGTGCAAACTCCGCCCCACAGCTGATTCTAAAGATTTTATTGGTTGTGTCAATTAAAGTGTTGATTTCCTACATTAAGCTACAAAAAATGCTAAGCCCTAAGCCTACCCCTCACCTGACCCTAAACTTAACCAGTGAAATTGACTGCACGGCAGGATTGGTGCTGAATAGCGTGGTAAAGAAAGATGCAGTTCAGGAGATAAACAGTAATAAGATTATGCGATATGAGATCGTTCCGTAACTCCCCAACCGGACCTCACCGGACAATGGCACCTTTTTAGTTACACCCAGCATCACTACCCCCTCCTACCCTGCGAATTTTGAGCCCCGGAATGCCCCCGTTGCTTAGAACAAAGCGATAGAGTGAAATCTTTCCCCTGCGCTGCGCTGGGACGGCTCGCGGGAGAGCTCGTGGGTGATTCCCATTTATATCATTAAGCAGAGGTTCAAACTCCAGTTCGAACACCACTGGCCACAAGCTTTGGGCTCTGCTCTCACGGGTAATATTTACTTATATAGCATATTTTATTTTAGATGAACTAGAAACACGTTATATCTACTTGGGTCTGTGAGCATAAATGCGTTCAGGGGGCGTGGCTTTGGACTGCGATTGCAGGGAGGGTGGGACGTTCGTTTTCAGTGCTATCAGGCTAAAGTTAGCATTTTCCAAGATCTCCTACTGCACCTTTAATATTCATCAAACAACAAAAGACAAATTCAAAATCACACACTGCTCTTGAGTGAAGGACTTTTGTAGCTTTAATAAGAAACAAAAAAGTTTAATTCTTACAGTGAAGACTATGCTGTTTTATTTTACATTTGATTATTCATTTCTGTAGTAGGCTGTAAACTGCTTGAGACTTGCATAAAAAACATTAAAGCACAGTTTGTTTCATTTGTATCTTTTTATTCTATTGTATTCCTTTGCTTTTTTATTACTGACAGTTTAATTATTTTCAATAATTTTGAGGACTTTTTGTTTTGAAATTCCGCTGGTCTCTAAAATGTAGATGTCATAGCAACCTTATTTACAGGAAATATGTATTTGATATGTATCACTATCTTTAAATAAATCACTCATATACAGTTTTGGTCATATGGCCCCCTCATAATCGTGTTAAATAATCGTGATTACAATATTGACCTAAATAATCGTGATTATGATTTTTGCCATAATTGAGCAGCCCTTCTGTAACCAATGTCATCAGTATGTTTTGCAACAATAAGGTTGTGAAGGTCTTGAGAGAGCTCTTTGCTTTTACCCATCATGAAATGTTTCTTGTGTGACACATTGGTCATGAGACACCTTTTTATAGGCCATCAGTTGAGACTGAACCAGCTAATATTAATTTCCACTGACAAGGGGCATGATTGCTTTCTAATTACTGATAGATTTCTGCTGGTGTCTTGGCTTTCCATGCCTTTTTACACCTCCCTTTCTTCATGTGTTCAATGTGTTTTCCCTGTGTCATTCCACAGTCACAGAACTTAATTTCTGAACTTATTTGTTTTATTTTCTTTCTATGTATGGATTACTTGGGTTGTTACCGACATCTGTTGAAAATTTCATGTCAACAGCACCTTTAGAAATATATTTACTGAGAAAAATGGTGACGTGTTCAATACTTATTTTACCCGCTGTATATATATATATATA